GGAGGCTGAGGCGGGCGGATCGGCTCAAGGTCAGGACTTGGAGACCAGCCTGAGAAGATCGAGACCTCGTCTCTACTGAAAATAGAAAGAAATTAATTGGCCAACTAAAACATAAAAAAAATTAGCCAGGCACGGTTGCGCATGCCTATATATATTAGTTGGCCAATTAATTTCTTTCTATTTTTATAGTAGAGAGGGCGTCTCTCTACCCCCCTGAGTAGGGGTCTGGCTCAGGCTGGTTTCGAACTCCTGACCTTGAGCAATCCACCCGCCTCGGCCTCCCAGCGTGCTAGGATTACAGGTGTGAGCCACCTTGCCGGGCCAGGGTCTAATGACTTTGAGTTTGGTTGGAATTGCCACAGCCCAGAGCAAGATGCAGCCTGCCCCACCCGCTCCCCATCTCGCACCCAGAAGTCGCGTGCTGCCCGTGCTCAGACTCCGCGTGTGCGCTGTGTCTGGCTGCTCCTGACGGGACGTTTCCGGGAGTCCCTGCGGCGCTGTGCTCTGCCTGAGCTTCATCCTTCTCGCTCCTGAGTCGTCCTGAGCTGTCCTTCGTTTGTTCGTTCTCTCACCTGCGGCGTTTGTTTTCAGTTCCAGGCCATTGTGAATGGGCTGCTGTAAACATTCCTGTGTAAGCTTTCTGTGGGTGCATTTTTGTTTCTCTCGGGTGCACACCTCAGAGTGGGGCTGCTGGCTCGCGTGGTAAGCGTGTGGTTTATGAGAAATCGCCCAGTGGTCCCAGAGAACCGTGCCACGCTCCCGCCGGCAGCGTGGGCCGCTCCACACCCTTGCCACACGTGGCGAGGTCAGAGCTTTCTGCTTCGGCGTTCTAGTCGGTGTGTAGTGGAGTCTCACTGTGGTTTTAACTTGCGTTTCCCCAACGACCGATGATGTTGCACAGAGTTTCACGTGCCGTGGCCACTGTCTACCTTCTTTTGTCACGGCTATTCCAAATCTTCCGGCCTCTTAAAATTGGAGTGTGGGCTTTGTGTGGCTAATATTTGGGAGCCCTTTGTGCAAGACCTGTGTCAGATATACATGCTGCACGGCTGGGCGTGGTGGCTCGCGCCTGTAATGCTAGCACTCTGGGAGGCCGAGGCGGGCGGATGGCTCAAGTGTCAGGAGTTCGAAACCAGCCTGAGCAAGAGCGAGATCCCGTCTCTACTATAAAAATAGAAAGAAATTAATTGGCCAACTAATATATATAGAAAAAATTAGCTGGGCGTGGTGGCACATGCCTGTAGTCCCAGCCACTCGGGGGAGACTGAGGCAGTAGGAATGCTTGAGCCCAGGAATTTGAGGTTGCTGTGAGCTAGGCTGACGCCACGGCACTCACTCTAGCCTGGGAAACAAAGCGCGAGACCCTGTCTCAAAAAATAAAATAAAATAAAAGCTAAAAAAAAATTAATATTTATGCATTTAAAGTAGCTTCATTTAATGAAGCTTTTAGAGGTAGCAGGGTCTGGTTTAGCACTGCTACTCCTACACCCGGATGCTCCTCTCTGAACATCATTAGTCAGTTGCGATGTCACATGTCACAGCCTCTGGGAAACTGCCGCACCCCCTGAGGAGAGGAGGGACCAGTGTGTGGGTGTCACTGTGGAAGTCCTTTCCACTCGGGGGTCCCTGGACGCAGCTCCGAGCCCCGCTGCTCTCAGACGCCGTTCCCACCGCCGCCCCAGCGTGAGCTCGTCAAGATGTGTCCTAAAACTTCGCACTTGCATGTTTGATCTGCTTTTCTTTTTAACTCTCGCCGTGATTTCTAGAAAGAGATGAATTGGAGGATCCAGAGTTCGAAGTTGAATCTCCCCCTCATGAGGCTGAGGAGGATGTCTGCCCCGGAGCTTGCGGGTAATTCCCCTGGGGGAACAGCGGCTCGGTCCCCCCAGACTACTAGGGGGTAAACCCTCAGGTCCTGGCAGTGGAGTGGAGCGAGTCCTGGGAGCTGTGGGGGGCGTGGACAACCCCTGTGTCATTTTTGTATTAAGTTTGGTGGAACAACAACCAAATACCAATGCTGACAAAACCACGAAGAAAACAACCGTTGAAGACAGAGTTCGGACATTCCACCTGCGAAAGAACTTGAACCACCTCGATAAGATACAGGAAGAGAAAGATCTTTTCACTGAGAAAACGAGGTGAGCGCTGCGGAGAGGGCCAGGCTGCTGGTGCCCCGAGGGAGGCCGGGGTGGTCCTGCGCCCACCCATGTCTCCCAGAGACCCTGCAAAGAGGGTCCTGCCAGCGTCTCTGGGGAGGAGAAGCTCAGCAGCACCGCCCCCCCCCCCCCAGAGCGGGCGCCCTGGGCTCTCAGCCCCTCCAAGAGAAAAGAAGGAAACCAAACACAGTGCGCTGGCCGCCCAGACTCTGCCACCCGAGTCACCGCGTGTCACCTGTCCTGTGGATTTCTTCTCTGCGTTTTTGTGATGTTGTATGTTCTGTCTGTGCTTTGGGTTCTTTTGCTGAATTATTAAGAGCATTAAACGCAAATTGCAGGCTGGGCGTGGTGGCTCACGCCGTATCCTAGCACTCTGGAGGCCGAGGCGGGAGGATCGCTCAAGTCAGGGTTCGAGACCAGCTGAGCAAGGCCGACCGGTCTCCACTAAATGTAGAAAGAAATTAATTGGCCACTAAAAATCTATGGAAAAAAGAGTCTGGGCATGGTGGTGCAGCTGCAGTCCAGCTACTCGGAGGAGCTGAGGCAGAGGATTGCTTGAGCCCAGGAGTTTGAGGTTGCTGTGAGCTAGGCTGACGCGCACGCCACTCTAGCTCAGGCAAGAGAGTGAGACTCTGTCTCAAAAAAAAAAAAAGCAAATTGTCGACATGATGCTTCACTCTTAAATATGTCAGTGTCTCCTAAAAAACAAAAACACTCTTCGTCACCTCAGCTCCGTCACTTCACCTAGGAAGACTCGAATTTCCCTGCCCTCCTCGGGCAGCTCACACTGCCCATCCCCACGTGTCTCCCGGAGGCCCCGCGCAGCCAGTTTCTGGGCTCTGTTCTGCAGTTCCCCGTGGTGGGGAGAGCCGCGAGCAGGAGTTGGCCCTGGAACCGGGGTTCCGGCCAGGCCCACAGCCCGAGCGGGGGTCCCAGGCCTGTCCGACCTGTTCTGGGTCACTCTTGGGGAGCCGAGTCCCTCCCGCAGCCCCAGGCCCCCCGCCGGTGCCCTGTACCTGCCGAGCTCGGCTTCTGCAGATCCGTGCGCACACCCGGCTCCTGGGAGCACGTCACTGCCGGGTGAGGCCACACAGCTGGCCCCCATGGCAGGGTTTTCAGAAAACGATGGACAAGACCCTGCTCGTGTCCCTCGATTGTGTTGGAGAGACCCCCGGCCTGGGCGAGCGGAGAGCTGGGGGGCCCGGCCCTGCCCACCCGGCCGTGCCGCCCCTTCGGAGGCTGCAGTTTCAGGGAACCGCCATCCAGATTTCTTGCTTCCGTGTTGCAGAGAGGAGCTGGGTGCTTGTCGCCAGAGGATGGAGGCCATCCGCGCACAGCAGGCCAGCATGGCAGCTGCGATCAACTCTGAGAAAGAGGCCAACAACGTGTAGGTGGCGCCCTTGCCCTGGGGCGGAGGGTCGGCCGCCAGGCCGGGTGGTGACCGTTGGTGGTCGGGGGCACATGTGCCACCAGGACCATAAAGCCCAGTGACCACGACACCAGGAAGGCTGGGCCGCCCGGTTGGGGAGGAGATCAGGGTGCTTTGCCTCGGGCGTCGTGGTAAGGGGGCAGGAGGGCGTGGGCGCCACACAGGGACACGGGCCCTGCTCGGGGCCTGGCTCCGCCCACTGCAGCCCCTCGGGAGCCTCACTGCACCCTCCGAGGTTGCAGGGCCCAGCTCAGCCCCGAGAAGGCCCCGCGGGATGTGGGTCCTGGAGCTGCCGGTGCAGCCAGGACAGCACCAGTGGCCAGTGGGGCTGGGACGACCACCAGGCCCCACAGCCCCTGGCTGGGCGTCCTGCCCTGGGGCCGGGTTCCGAGGTAGAGGAGAGGGGCCAGAGCCACACGGCAGCTCACGCGGCAGCGGCCAGGCGGGCTCTGAGGGTTGTAGGCCGCCTGACTCTGGAACGCAGCAGCCTGAGGTCTAGAGGTGACCGCCACCCCCGGCCTGCTGCTCGAAACCCACTCCCTGCGCCCCACACCGCCAGGTCCTCTGCGCTGCCCTCGTAGCCCAGGCCACCGCCCGCTCCTCCCACCCCCCCCGGCCACGCCGTCCGGCCCTGCCTGCCCAGCGGGATGGGGCACGGGAAGGGGGTCTCCCTGCTGAGGGTGGGAGGCCATGGCAGGCGCCAGGTGGCCGCGGGGCTCCGCTCACGAGCCGAGCCGGGACTGACGCCCGCCCGTCCCTCCGCTGTGCCGCAGGGCCGCCGCGGGCCGTCTCCAGGCGGCGTCCAGACGCCTGTGCACGGAGCTGGAGAACGAGAGGGACCTGCAGGCGAAGATCACGGCCGTGCTGGCGCAGAGCGAGTGAGTGGGCTGGGGAGGTGGCGGGCGCAGCCCCGGAGCCTGGGGCCGTTCCTGAGTGCGAGGACTTAGCTGTCGGGATGCTTAGAAACCGAAAGGTGGCTTGTCACGTGCAGTAGCTGAAAGGAGAAACCCCACGTTACTGAAGGTTTTCAGTTTCTCCACGTTAACTGCGTTCTCAGGAACTGTAATAATCGGTCGGTGCTTCCATGGGACAACCGGCACCATTTTTAAAAGGTGCTTCCGAGTTTTTCCAGAAGCCTCCACTGGGAAACAGCCGCACTGTTCTAAATGCCATCAGAGTTTGGCTTGTATGTTGGAATCGGCTCTGGCGAGTTTGGGCAGGAAGGGGCTTGGGAAGGGGCATGACCCGCTCACGAGGTGACAGAGGACGCCCCACGCCACTCAGCCGCGCCGGTCCCAGGAGCTCCGAGTGCCGCACGCCGCCCCCAGCGCCGTCCCCACGGATGCCGGGCTGGGCAGGAAGCTCCCGCGGCATCCAGCGGTGGGCACGGCCGGGAGGGTGGGGGGAGAAACCACAGCCCTTGCGTCATCAGGGCTGGGCCTCCGAGCAACTCAGGGGCCGGGCAGGGAAAAGCGGCTTCCACCGTCAACAGATTTGGAGTTCGTGGTCACAGACGTGTCCACACCCACGCAGACATCCCCACTCCTGCTCTCAGAGCCCCGTTCCGCCCCGGCCGGCCACCGCTGCGGTCTGGGTGCTGCCGCCCCTCCCCCATGCTGGGGCCAGTGCTGCAGGAGGGGCTGGAGGCCACAGGGTTGTCCTTTCCGGAGGCACCGCCTAAAAGGAACAGCTTTCCTCCAGACACGGAACCCGCTGGCGCCTCGACCTGGGACTTCCCAGCCTCCGGAACTGTGCGCAGTGGATTTCTGTTGTTTTGGTTTTTTTTGTTGTTTTTTTTTTTCTTTTTTTCTTTAGCCATTTGAGAAAGCAGGAATGGATTTCTGTTGTTTACAAATTGTCCGTTCTCCGGTACTTCGTTATGGCAGCAGGGACGGACTGAGACAGCGCCCTGCCTCTTACAAATAAGGCCCTGCAAGCTGTTAACGCAGATCGTCGTTCGACCACTGGGAAGATCTCGGAATGAGCAGAAGTGATAGTCCGATAAGTGACAGAGTTTTCCAGAACCGGTGACAGCGTGAACCCTCAGACTCAGGAATGTCGTGATCATGAGCAGGAGGAACAGAAATGACCCCAGAGGAGGACCGGCCTGGAGGCAGACGGACGCGGAGAGACGGAAACACCATGTGTCTCGGGGTCAGATGCTCCCCGTCACAGACACCCTCACCCACAATCGTTGAAAGAGAGTCCATTATTTAAAATCACCCCAGCAAAGAATGTAGCACACCCAGCCTTTCAAATAAACTGGTATAAGCTTAACGCCAAAACCGAGAGGACAGTACAAGGAAGGAAAAGTATGGCCCAATCTCGGGAAATAAACAGAGAAATCCTAAATAACACATTAAAAATCGAAACTGGCCGGGGGTGCTGGCACTCGCCTGTGTCCCGGCTACTTGGGAGGCTGAGGTGGGAGGACGCCTGAGCCCCGGGGCAGGAGGCTGCAGCGGCTGTGATCTCGCCACCGCACTCCAGCCTGGGCGGCACAGCGAGTATCACATGCGTGCACACCCCGTGCCAGGTTGGGGTTCTGTGCCCAGGAACCCAGGCAGGCTAAGCACGAGGAGCCTGAACAGAGACACACACCGACCGGGGGACGCCCACAGCTCGCGCCCCGTGACCCTTTGACGCTGGCGCGGCAGACCTTGCGCGGGGAGGGCCGGGTACGGCCCCCACCGCAGCGGCCTCACGGCGGCGCAGAGAGAACCACCACGTTTTTGATTTGTTAAAAAAAAAAAAAAATCGTGAAATAGGAATGGAGGGACATTTTCTCAGCGAGGTTGAGAGTGAAGACCGACCGAAGGCCCGCCGCGAGCGGCACGTCACGCTGGCCTCGAACGTCATGTCACACTGGCCGCGAGGCAGGCAAGCGCCTCGGGAGCTCCCGTCCCTCCTCACCCCTGGGTTCCCACCCTCTCGTGGGCCGCTCTGGCCGGGTCTGGGCCTTGGGCCACGCGTCGGCGTGTCTCCCGCCTGGCGCCGCTGTCCGAGCGCGTCCACTGTGCAGTTGCCGGGTCCACGCCTGGCCGTTGGGACAGGGGACGCCGCGGTGCGCCCGAGACGGCTTCCACGTCCCCACGAGGAGTCTTCTCTACCAGGCCTGCCTGCTGCGTGCACAGGCTCCTCCCAGCGAGAAGTTACCCGGAAACTCCCCGGCGCTGTGCCAGGAACCCGAGGCCGCCCCGTGCGCACAGGGCCACTGCAGACGCCGCGCACGCTCACCGTTGGGCGCACGGTCTCGGGCAGGTCTCCAGGCACCAGCGAAGGGGCGGCCTGGGCCTGGCAGGGCTGGCTGTCACCGCACTCGGGAAGACGGAGGGGTGGTCCTGCGGTCAGTGCATCCGCACAGTGACCTTCTAGCCCAGGGGACACAGTCCCGCCGTTTCTCCTGAACGCCCTCCTCAGCCCGGGCCCACCGCGGCCGTCCTGCCCGCACCCGGCACGGGGGTGCCCACGGGCGTGCGAGGCACGCAGGGCCAGGCTCTGGCGGGGCTGTGGATCTCCCTAGCGTGGAGGCGGGCCAGGGTGGACCCCGGCCTCTGGGCAACGCTGGGCCAAGGCGGCTGCTCCTAGGAGGGGCTGCCCCCTCGGTGGTGTCCGGGGTCCACCCGGAGCTCCGTGCCGCGACCCTCTCCAGGTCCCGGGGTGGATGCGCAGGCCCAGGTCTTCCGCCCCGCTGCCGCCGTGAACCAGAGGCCTCTTGTTTGCAAGGATCGCCATGTGGCACTTCGAGCTGCAGCAGAGGCAGCTGGAGGACTTCCGGAAGACGACCCGAGAGGAGGCAGAGGCCGCCGAGAAGCGCCGCCAGGTGCACGCCGCACAGCTGCTGCGCAAGGAGAAGGCGGCTGCGGTAAAGGCGGAGAGGAACCAGCAGCTGAGGGTGCGGTAAGCGCCCGGGAGGGCCGGCTCCTGGCACCCTCGGCTCCTCAGCCTGGCGCCCCAACCTCTGCTGGCTCTTCTGCCCGCTGCCCTGCCCACAGCTCCCTCCAGGGCCTTCCCCGTGCCCCTGCCCGGCCTCCCCAGCCAGGGTGTTCCGGGCTCCACGCCCACCAGGCCCAGGGCTCACTCATCCCCCCCGGGCAGCCCCGACACCCACCAGACCAGCCCCTCACGTGTTCCGCAGGCCACGGGCCAGTTCCCCCAGCCCTGCCCTGAGCCCCTCCCCACCTTCCCAGCCCCACCTCCTTCCTGTGTCACCTTGTAGGTCCCTCTGTCCAGCTGCCCAGGCCAGGGACCAGGTCCTCCCGACCCCACACCCGTCCAACCCATCCTCAGATCTCTCCGCTGCTTCCTGAGGGATCCTGGCCCTGGCTGCGGGCGCCACGAGCCCTGGTCCCTGCCTACAGCATGGCTGCCCGTCCCCGTCCCCTCCCAGACCCCCACCGGGCTGCACCTGGGCCTGTCGGTTCTGGTCCGATGTGTGTGGCCCGCGGTCCCCGCTCTGGCCTTGCTCCCCACGCCTGGCCCCATGGAGCCTGCGCAGGATGATGCTGCGGGCGGCGGCCGCCCGAGAGCACGTGCAGGCGCGGGGCCGCGTTTCTGCTCTGACCGCCCGTCTCTCGGCAGGAAGTCCCTGCTCATCCAGCAGGGGCACGGGCTCGGGCAGCGGAAGCTGGTGGAAGATGCCCAGAGGAACCACAGGACCGCGGTGAAGTTCCTGAAGGCCTCCCTGGGAAGGTAGCGCTTTCCCCACCAGGACCGTGCCTGGTCCCTGCCCCTGAGGACAAACCCACGACTGTGCGTCATTTGCTTTTGTTCCAAAGTTCCCCGATTTTATTGTCACCGCCTTGTCATCAAAGCCCAGTGACTCTGTTTTCAGTCTGGAGTTGCTGTTGTTCTCAGAAGAGACTGTGAGATGCAGTCTGGACACAGACTCTGGACCGGAGGGAAACCCGGTTCCAGCAGCGTGTCCCTGTGCGGTGACCGCAGCCGTGGTGCTCTTCCCTTTCGCCTCTGAACCGTCACCTTTCGCTGTCCCCTTGGTGGAAACGGCTGACACCCTCACAGCCCCTGGTCTCCCTGGTTAAGCACGCGCCTTCCCCAGGATTCGAGAGCGGGAGAAGGAAGAGGAGGCGGCGTCCCGCAAGCACATGAAGAGACGCATGGACGCGGTGCTCGCGCTGAAGAGCAGCATCGCGGCGAACCGGGTAGGCAGGGGGCCCGGCCTCCCGCCCTCAGCCCGGCCGCAGCCTCCCCTGCGCCCCTCCCTGCCAGGGGTCTGCCCAGGCCCTGCTCCCAGGAGCCAGCCCTGCGCCAGGCTCACCGCCCAGGGCCATGTGCCCCCTCTGCAGCTCCCTGGAAGCTTCCTGAACGTCTGCCTTGGGTTCTGTGCCCGGCTCTGGGCAGAAAGCAGCCCGGCCCTGTGCTCGTGAGGCCTAGTCTCGTGGGAAGAGCAGGGACAGCCCCGGGAGGCGCACAGGGGACCAGGGCACCCACCTCCTGCAATGCCACACGCCAGGGCCAGGGTTGGGGGCTTGGGCCAGGAAAGTGGGAGGAAAGTGGGGAGCGGTGGCAAGCAGCCAGCCCTGCGGAGACAGCCCACGGGGCCCAGTGGGGTTGAGTAGGGATGGGGCATGTGGAGAACCGTGTGACGCGTGTGATCTGTCCAGCACGGGACCCATAGGTGTTAGCGCCGGCTCGATGACACCTATTCAAAGGGAAGGCCCTGTGTGAGCATGCGAGCTCACGCCTTGAGTGTTTGCATGTGTGTGCATATGTGAGCATGCATGCTCACACCTTGGTTTGTGCACATGTAAGCATGCATGCTTATGCCTTGAGTATGTGCACATGTGAGCATGCATGCTCATACCTTGAATGTGTGCATGCGTGAGCATTTGTGCTCATGTCTTGAGTGTGTGCACATGTGTGCATGTGTGAGTATGCATGCTCACGCCTTGAATGTGTGTATGCGTGAGCATGCATGCTCATGTCTTGAGTGTATGCACATGTGTGCATGTGTGAGTATGCATGCTCACGCCTTGAATGTGTGTATGTGTGAGCTCATGTCTTGAGTGTGTATACATATGAGCATTCGTGCTCACGTCTTGAGTGTGTGCATGTGTGAATGTGCGTGCCCAATGTCTTGAGTGTGTGCACATGTGTGCATGTGTGAACATGTGTGCTCATGCCTTGAATGTGTGCATGTGTGAGCGTTCTTGCTCATGTCTTGAGTGTATACATGTGTGTGCACATGTGACCATGCGAGCTCACGCCTTGAGTGTGTGCACATATGTGCATGTATGAGCATGCATGCATGCTCACGCCTTGAGTGTGTGCACGTGTGAGCATGCATGATCTCGCCTTGAGTGTGTGCACGTGTGAGCATGCTCATGCCTTGGGTGTGTGCACGTGTGAGCATGCATGCTCACGCCTTGAGTGTGTGCACGTGTGAGCATGCATGCTCTCGCCTTGAGTGTGTGCACGTGTGAGCATGCTCATGCCTTGGGTGTGTGCACGTGTGAGCATGCATGCTCACGCCTTGAGTGTGTGCACGTGTGAGCATGCATGCTCTCGCCTTGAGTGTGTGCACGTGTGAGCGTGCTCTCGCCTTGGGTGTGTGCACGTGTGGGCATGCGCGCTCACGCCTTGGGTGCGTGCACGTGTGGGCATGCGCGCTCACGCCTTGGGTGCGTGCACGTGTGGGCATGCGCGCTCACGCCTTGGGTGTGTGCATGTGTGAGCATGTGTGCTCACACCTTGAGTGTGCGCACGTGTGTGCACATGTGAGCATGTGCTCATGCCTTCAGTGTCTGCACGTGTGAGTGTGCGTGCTCATATCTTGAGTATGTGCACGTGTGTGCTCACACCTTGAGTGTGTACACGTGTGCACGTGTGAGCCTACGTGCTCACGCCTTGAGTGTGCACATGTGAGCGTGTGCATGTACATGCCATGTGCTGATGTCATCACCTCCGTGTCTGTGATTTCCAAGGAGACACTGCGGAAGTTCCAAGTGTGGAGCCAGGTCAAGGGGCACCTGGCGGAGCAGAAGGCGCAGGAGGAGAAGGAGGCGATTCTGGCCCAGGGCGGAGACGCCTTCAAACACCTTTTCCATCAGCGCCGGCAGGGGGAGCTGGAGGCCCAGACGCGGTGAGGGGCGGGCGGGAGTGGGAGCCAGGGCACGCCCCGCACCCAGCACAGCTACTCTCCCCATGGGCCCCAGCACAGGGGGAGCCGGGGCCGCGGCATAGCCCCGAGGCTGCAAGTGCCAGGAGGCCGCTGAGGGTTCAAGCAAGGAGTGAGCAAACGAAGTATCCGGGTGGCACCAAGTTCCCTGGGGGCCTCAAGAACGTCACCAGGCCAGGCCCTGTTTTCCTGGAGACCTGGTCGGCAGCTTTGTGTGGGCCTAGAAGAGCGCACCAGCGCCCTTCCTGAGAAGCCAGCGCAGGGCTGGGGGCTCTCCAGAGGGCAAGGTGCCGGGGCCTCCCGTCCCGCCTCCCACGCCCACCTCTCAGGGCCGGGCTTCCAGCTGGCCACCGTCCAGCCTCACTCCTCGCCTTTGCCAGCCTCGCATGTGATGCACCACGAATTTCCGTGTGAACTGTCCTCGGTGCTTTTGTCTGAAGAAGGGCCTGTCCCTTTTTCCCCAGACCCTGCTACTGGCCAGTTCCTGCTTAGGGCCTGCCCCAGCGTGGGACCCTGGTCCTCTCTCGGGGGGCATCAAGCTACTCCGGGCATTCTAGAGCTTTGAGTGTCCCCCCAAGTCATAACCCTAGGGTTCTGCCACCCATGTGCAGCCCACCTTGGGAGGGGTCCTTGGGGCAGCTCTGCCCGCCTGTGCACCCCTTAGTCTGGCATGGGCCTGGCACGCAGGGCCTTTGAGGAGGAGCAGAAGCTCAGAAAGCAGGAGATTGTAGACCGGATTTTGAAAGAAGAGGCCGAGGAGGAAAACAGGAAGAAGCGGCTTCTTCCCCCCTGCACCACCACAGACCGGTGGACCCTGAGAGACAAGACCTGGAGCTACGTGTCCGACTTTTGCGAAGGAAAGACCACACCCCCGCCCACCTTTGACCTGCCGGTGAGCAAACGCCATCCTCTAGATGGGCTCCGGCTACCTGGGAGCACAGCTGCAAAGGGCCCTGGGGCACAGGTGTGGGGAGAGGAGGTCCTGTGGGGACCTCAGTGCCACGGCCACCTACAGGCAGTGCCACCAAGCTCTCTGCAGCCATGGGCAGAGGCCACGGAGCCCTGGAGCAAGAGAAGGGATGCCCCTGTGGGAGGCCTCCACATGCAGGGGCGCCCACAGCCCTGGAGGTCCCGGAGCACCCCCAGCGCCGAGTCACCTTAGCGGTGCCACCTCCAGGACCGTGGAGCCTCTGCCTGTCCCCAGACGCAGAGCAGGGCCGCCACATGGCAAGAGGGTGTCACCCCACTGCAGAGTATTCTTAATGTCATCCTGAAGATAGCAGCTTTCCTCTCACCTTCTGAGCCCTGTCTATGTCCATTCATTCATTCATTTGTTCACAGCAAGGGCCTGCTTGGTGCCGGCTGTGTATAGGCGGCTGCCCTCAGCTGGGTGGGGGGGGACCTAGGGGGGATCCATTCCTAGTTTTCCTTTCCCCAGGGGTGTAGGGGAGGGATGGTGGCCCCTCCTGAGCCCAGCACAGCACTGCAGCCTCAGCCCTTGTGTGCCATAAAATGTGAAGTTCAAGGTCACTGGCTCCAACGAACGTCCTGCCAGTAAAGCCCCCGCCAGGCTGCCAGGCTGCCTGCCCCCCAACTCCTTGCCAGAGCCCATCTCACTACGCCCCTGCCCACACCGTCTGTTCCGCTGGGCGTGTCTCTGTGCACGGAGATTCACCCTCCGCCCCCATCCTCGCCCACTTCCCCACAGGCCCCCAAACGGGTTCCAGGGAAACCCTCACGCTGCCCTCCTGGGGTTAGCACGGGGGCCCTCCCAGGCAGGAAAAATGGGCACTGAGGGTCAGAGGCCAGGACACTTACCTATAAACTAGAATATCTTCCAATAAAAGGGAATATTGTGGACTCTTGTGAGCATCATGTAAAAATATTTAATAATGTACAGAAACACTTATATTTTAAATGGAAAAAGTCACAAGCAGTGGAAGAACAAAGGACCTGGAGCACAGCGTCACGGGCCCTGTGGGGCTGGGACGGTCCTTCCTGCCCATCTGGGCAGCCCCGTGTTCTGTCGTGACGCGTCTCAGCCGCGGCCCTCTCCCTGCCCGCAGGAGGACAACGCCCCAAAGGTTGACCCCTCTCGGCTAATGAGAGCCATCTCCATTGAGTCCGTGCACTCGGAATCCACGACCAACTTGGAGGAGAAAAATTTAGCAGAGCCGGAAATCTCTGGGCTCTGGAACGAAGACCACAAGCCGTGCCAGGTGCCAGCTTCTGCTCTTTGCGGCCCCTGCAGCCGGACACCCCCGGCTGCATCTTCTCACGGGCACTTCGGGTCCCCCACACCTCCCCCCGTGGGCCGGTCTCCGGCCACCCACCGTGAGCGCCTCGGCCCAGCCAGCCCCCTCGCAGAGCTGTGACTTCCCCTGGTGGGGGCTTGGTCCCCTGCAAGGGACAGGGGACCTCAAAAGATGACTCCGAATTACTCTGCTTACTGGCAGGGAAACAGACTTCTAGAAAAAGGCAAGAGCTCAAACTTTCTTTGACAGCTTTTTAGAGACACGTGGTCTGTGCAGAGCACTGGTCTTCCGGGGGCAGCAGGGACTGCCCCTCGGTTCCTGCAAAACTTGGTCACCGGTCACCGCTGCCATCAGGGAAAGCCATTGGCTCTGCCGGTTCTGGGGACACCCCACAAGACAGGCAGGGCCGAGCCGGCCACCGCCACCCTCTGGGCGCAGCGGAGAGGGTGGCGGGGCTGGACAGAGGAGGGTCCCCAGGCGGCACCCCCCTCCCCGGGGGGCAGGAGGGAGGAGCCTGCTCAGTGGCTGGCCCCAGGGGACCCCACACGGCGGCAGGCAGAGATTCAGGCCAGGCCGGCACTTGCACCGCGTTCGCCCTGACGGAGCTTCCTTTGTGCCGACACCGCCCCTCGCTTCTGTAGAATTTCCAAACACCTCCTCCTGCCCTCTGCTGTTCTCCCAGAACGCTGCCTGGGTCCTGGCTGTTTCCGCTCTTCTTCCTTTCATTCCTTCCTGCTTCTGAAGCAAAGACGCCCTGCCTTGTCAGTGGGCCAGAAACCACGTCCAGCCGTTCTCAATAACTCCCGGGGGCAGGGCCCTGCGCTTCTCCGCAGGCAGCGGTGGGTTCTGGCCGTGAACTCTGCCCGCCACCGTCACTGCCCAGCTGCGGTAGTGACCCCGCAGAGTGGGGACCCGCCCGCTGCGCTCGGCCCTAACAGGCATGGACCTCTGTCCTTGTGAACCGAGGTGCCTGAGGAGGACGTGAACAGAAAGCCCGTGGGCGGGACAAAGATGGACAAGGACATCCTGGCCCGCACCATGGAACGGCTGCGGAGCGGCCGGGTCCAAAGGCAGGTGGCCTCCGGGCACGAGTTCAAAGGCCGCCCCTTCAACAGCAAGCCGGAGATCATCCACTTCAAGGTGAGCCTGCGCGGTGAAGCAGCTTCTCACCCCGTCCCGCCCCCGGTGCCTTTTGTTTTAACCTTGGGAGACCAGAGGCTTCGCCAGGAGGGGCCCAAGGTGCTGCCCTTCCACCGGGCGGAGGCCAGTGTGAGAGCAGGAGGCCCTGTCTCCGCGGTGGGGTCGCACACCAGCCCTCGGGGTGCATCCGAGAGGCAGGAGGCGCCTGTGGCTCCTCTCAGGGCAGCGGGGAGCCCCGGCCCCCTGGGGAGGAGGTGGGGGGCAGCCGCCGGCCACTGACAGGCATATTCCAGCTTCTCCTGAGGTGCCCCCAGTGGGTCCACCCCACAACCTGCTGCCCGACCTCAGCAGGGGCAGCGCAGGGACCAGGAGGCTGAGGGCGGTGCTCACTGCTGCCTTTGCCGGACTTTGCAGGAGGGGCGGTCTCGGGGCACCTGTGGTCCTGCCCTCCCTGGCCCATCGGTGCAGCCAGGGCGACCCAGGAACCTGCCCGGTCTCAGCCTTCCCTTCTCGTGCTTCCCCCCTGGGCCCAGCAACGCCCTGGTTCTGGGCGCCTCTGCCCCAGGGTCCCTTCCCTTCTCAGTTCAGGGGGGAGCCCTCGGGATCTGCCCCGGGGGGCCCTCCCCTGCACTCCGGAGGAAAGACGCCCGAGTGCCCGACCTGAAGCCGCTGCTTCTGACGCTCCCAGGACTTCGACGTCGGCAAAGTGTACAAGAAGAAGATCACGCTGATAAACGCCACCTACACCATCAACTACTGCAAGCTGGTGGGCGTGGAGGAGCACCTGCGGGACTTCATCCGCGCCGAGTAAGCGCGCCTGGCATGGGGCGGCGGGGCCGGGCCTGGGGGATCCGGAGCCTCCATGCTCCGAGGCTGGTCCAGGTTGGTCTGGGCGTGAACCCTCCGGCTGAGACTCCGTGCAGATGGACCCCAGTTGTCCCCTGCTCGGCCTGTGTCCCGTCACTAGTGGCCGCCGCTCACCTGGCCGCCACCTTGCTCTCGTCGTCGTCACTGTGTTTTGAGGCTGACCATTCCGGCGGGTCTTCCCTGGCAACCCCAGTGCTGTCTGCGCGGGAAGATGAAAGCTGCCTTTAGTGCGGGACTCTGTCCTTCAGCTGTAGAGTTAAATTTGAACTTGGCTCGAATGTTGCCATCGTCGTCTTCTGAGCCCCTGCTTTGCCTATGTTGGGTCCCCTTGGCTGCCTTCGATCCTGTCGTTTTCCTTCCCGTCCTGTCCAGTTCTTCTCTTCCGTTTTCTTTTTTCCCTCATTGTTCTCATGATAAACGTTTTTGGTTTTTTCCTGCAGTGTTAATCTCCTCTGCTGCTCCTCAGCATCTCGCCTTCTGTTGAGAAAGCTTTGCTTTTCTCTTCCACGTCCTGCCTGGTTTCTGCCGGTCTGAGGACGGGCCCGTGGTGCCAGGGTGCTCTCGGTTCTCGGCCAGGAGCGGCTGCTCCTTGGTGTGGTGGAGCTGTCTCCAGGGGCAGCTGGGCAGGACCCCACCTCCCCCTGCTGCCACGGGGGCGCCGCCTGAGGCTGCTGCCCTGGGCGTGTGCCCGCTGACCGCCCCTCCGGGCGCCCCCCGCCCACCCGCAGCCGGCTGACCGCCGCTCTGCAGGACTCAGGACGCACCGTGTCTTTTGGGAGCTGAGCTGGTCCGTGAGATCTCTCCCACCCTCTCTCTCCCCTGCAGTTTCTCCCGACCCTTGTAGCTCCATGGAGAGAGCATTCCAGAAACCGGCCTTTATCCCCTTTATGATTAGTTCAGAGTCCGAGGCCCTGCCCGAGGCCTGCCGACGCGCGCGCGTGTTCTTGTGTTGGCCCGTGCCCGTTCCGGAGGGCGTGAGCAAGAGGCCGGGGTCAGCGCTGAGATTGGGGTTTGTTGTTGACAGGTGCTTCCCCCGGATGCTGGATGTGCCCCTCCGTCCTCTGGTTTCTGTTATTGCTGGGGGGGCGGGGTGGGCTTCAGTCAGCTGTGGTTTCCGTCGCTTTCCGGTCTGTTGCTCCTGAGATCTCTCGTCCCCAGGCGTCCTGGCAGGCTGCGCCCGCAGCGTGTCGGCGTGAGCGGGACTTTGCTGAGAGCCCTCTCTCTCAGATCTGGGAGGCAGTTTTTGGGATGCTCTCCCCTCCCCGTGCTCTGCCCTCCGCCTCCCGCGTGAGGGACGCCACCGTTGCGTCCGGACGCCTGCATCCGTGCTTCCCGTCCCCCCCTCCCGTCTGGACCGGCGGCTTCCAGGGTGGCGCCGGCCCACCGCCCTCCCTGCGGCTGTATGATCCGAGTCGGCGCTGAACTCTGATGCGGTTCTGGTTCAGCTGCCGATCTCTCGGTTCTAAAAATTCAGGTTCCCTTTTCAGACGCCGCACGGCCGTTTCTTGACAGTTGCCTGTGCCGCCGCCAGCGTCTGTGGGTCTACTGTCTGCGCCCTCCAGCCCGTTGAGAGGGGGCGCCTTTCGGCCTCACACCCACACCTCTGTCCGTCTGCATTCCTGGGGTGGCCTGCCCTTTGCGTGTGGGGTCTGCGTGCCACGCGTCTCCCGGCTTCCCGGGGCCCACGCGCTGGGGTGCTGTGCGTCTCCGGAGCACACGACTGTTCTCGGGGGAGTTATCGGGCTGGGCTCCTGCCGTTGGTGGCCGGGGGACATGGCCAGCCAGGGGCAAACCTTTATGTTAAATCTGACCTCCACACCACCCCTACAACCAGGCACTGTAGAGATAAAAAGCCCTTGTGAAAACGGGGTCCTGGCGCGGGTTCTCTGGGAGGCTCCTTCCCTCCGCAGGTCCAGGCCACGCAGACCACCCCCGCCAGCTCCCCGTGCAGCTGGGCCATTTTTCTGGTTTTTCCCTGAAATAGGACTGCCAGCCAGTTGTGCAGGGCTGCAGTCCCGGGCTTCGTTCCTGTTCCCCTCTGCCCCCAGCCCAACTGTATTAATAACCTAGACCCGCGGGCCGGGCGCGGCTGGTCCGGCTGTAATCTAGCACTTCTGGGAGGCTGAGGAGGTGGATTGCTTGAGGGTAGGAGATTCAAAACCAGCCTGAGCAAGAGCCAGACCCCGTCTCTACTATAATATATAGAAAGAATTAATTGGCCAACTATATATAAGAAAATTAGCCGGGGCGTGTGGCGCATGCTGTATTCCAGCTACTCGAGGCTGATCGATGAAGTCGTCCTGGCTCACCGAGGTTTAGTTGGCGTGACAGGCTGACCGCCACGGGGCAACTGAGGCCTCTAGCCCCGCACAAATAAGACTCTGTCTCAAAAAAAAAAATAACCTAGACCCTCCATCCCTAGGCCTGGCCCGGGCCAGCCCTGCCCACCCTCCTCACCCCCGTGGCACCCGTTTTTCTGGAGGCTGGCTGAGGGCCTTCCACACCCCACCTCTCCCTCCTCCGTCACATGCAACCCTTCGGGGGGGGTCCCTTTCCACTGGCACGTCCAGGGCACGTAGTACAGTTCCGACCCGGGGCTTGCCAGGAGGCAGCTGGCCCAGGTGGAAGGGATCCAGAACGGCCCGCTCCGCCCACGAAGCCGTCCAGACCTGACTCGCCATCTCACCGCGGCGCGTGAGCATGGCCCTCTCGCCGGTATCTGACCGCCTGTGTGCTGTGGCCCTGTACCCAGCAGCTTCGACCCGCCCTGGCCGCCATGTTCAGCCCGGGATGTCCTGTGAAGGCTCGATCACTTCAAGCCATGGTGAGTCGGGGGCTGCTCTCACCGCAGGGTTGGGGCGGTGGGACCGAGGACAAGGACGCACTTGGCGCTCTCACCCAGATGACCCTTTGCTGCCTGTCGTATTTGCAAGAAATAGTGTGCATAGTGCGGAGTGCCGCAGAATCAGCAGAGCAGTGTCTCTGATATTTTAATTTTTTTCACTAGCTGAGGGTGTGGTCGCAGGCTCACCCTTTCATGCTCTTGGGTCTCAATGGCGGGGTCCCAGAAGGTCTCCGCAGCGTGTGACGGCCTGGGCCCAGCAGGAGTTATACAACCAGGCGTGTGTAATGGGACAAAAGTTAATGGCTGGTTGTTTTATTTTTAGATAAACAAAGATCCTGGAAGGAAATGCTCATTTTTCGGCTCAGACGGGCGGGATTTTCTGTTATGAATGTTTCAACAAAGAATGTCGTGGTAAGTTCACCAAATGTTCTGAGCCTGCCGTGTCCGCCGCGGTTGAGAGCCCTGTGGCCTGGGCATGGGGCCCCACCTCCCTGTCTACGGCGCACAGGGCTCTGACCCGCCCTCGCCCGGGGGTGGCACGGAGCAGGCCCCGAGAAGACGGCACTCAGAGCGGCGATGGAGAGATGCTGGGCAGATCCCGCTCTGTGGAACTCAGTGGAGGACCTGCGGGTCCAAGGGGCTGAGCGGCCCCGTCTTTGCTGTAGCTCTTGGCATCCCCTTGGTTGTGTCTTTAATAAGAACATTGTTAAGTGCATGACGAGCAAGCAGAGAGAACAGTACGAGACATCTCTTATGCCCACCCGACCTGGACACCCCCGCCCCCCCCTCCCCCCCCGCACCCCCCGGCAAAGGGATGTCGGTGTCTGCACTGTTGCTTCCCGTCGCCCTGCCAACTGCTTGGCAGCGCACCGCCAAGTGGGTCTCTAGGATTGAAGGCTGACCCCACCCCTGAGTGCGCTCGCTTCCACCCAAATACAGGGCCACCACGTCACGTCCGTCCACACCAACATCGGCCTGCACCACCCGCGCTCGATAACAACCTAACCCAGCAAAGGGCACCTTTAGTTGTGGCAGCCGTGGCTGGTCATGGGGCGGCAGGTCCAGATGTGGTCTCAGCCGTAGGGTCACGGGCGTGCGGTTCACCGAGGTCAGGTTCAGCGTGGCGGTCCGGGCCGTGCAGGGTCACAGATGTGCGGTCCTCCAGCCGTGCGGTCCACGGCGTGCGGTCACAGATGTGCAGGTTCAGCCGTGCAGGTCACGGGGCGTTCGCAGGTCACGAGTCGGTCTCAGCCTGCTGGTCACAGGTGTGCAGGTCAGAAACACAGAGCTGCAGTCCTCAGCCATCGCATGGGTTGTGGGTTGTGGAGTCGTGGGCATGGCCAGGTGAGGGTGTAGGAGTCATGGGCCATGCAGGATCGCAGATATGTCAGGTTGAGCGGTGTGCAGGTTGCGTGTGCAGTCTCAAAGGCGTGCAAGTCGTGGGCCGTTGAGGTCGTGGGCATGCAGGTCCAGGTTGCATGGTCTTGGTTGCAGGTGAGGGTGTGCACGGTCATTGGACATCGCAGGTCGCAAGTGTGCACGGTCCGTGGCATGCAGGTGCAGATGCGTGCAGTCTATGGTGTGCAGGTTGAGGGGGTGTGCAGGTTGAGGGTGTGCAGGTCGTGGGCAGTTCAGGTTGAGGCCCATGCAGGTCGGAGCGGCGGTCTGGGCCGTGGCAGGTCGAGGGCGTGCAGGTTGAGGTTGTGCAGGTCGCGGGCTGCAGGTCGAGGGCGTGCAGGTCGAGGGCGTGCAGAGTTGAGGGCCTGCAGGTTGGAGGGCGTGCAGCGTTGAGGGTGTTCAGGTTGTGGGCTGCAGGTTGAGGGTGTGGCAGGTCTCGGCGCGTGCAGGTTTGTGGGCGTGCGGGGTGGTGGGCGTGCCGGTTGAATGTGCTGCAGGTCAGGGCGTGCAGCTTGTGGGCGTGCAGGTCCATGGGTGTGCGGTGAGGTGGTGCTGTCATGGGCATGCAGGTCAAGGGCATCGGTCGTGGGCGGTGCAGGTTGAGGGTGTGCTGGTCATGGGCATACGTCAGGTTCACGGCATCCAGGTCATGGGTGTGCAGGTCAGGGGTGTGCAGGTTGGAGTGCAGCGTTTGAGG